TTATATTTCTTTTTTACGTTCCTTTTGTGCTTCACAATTCCATTGTGCTTCTCCCACCTCCTTCAGTTTCGCCCTCAAGTCTGCAATAGTTCTGTTGCTTTCTCTTTCTTGTTCCCGTTGTCTTAAACACACATTATGAAGATACTGCAGTTGTTCTCTGTAGCATTCCTGATAACATGGTTCATCAACCCATTCCTCAAAATCACAAATAGGTTCACCGGAAACCTTGTAAAACTGGTTCATACAGTGCCAGTAGCGGCGTCTAACTTCACCACCGTCCCAACAACTTTGCATCGAGCATGCTTTTCCACACTTGCACTTTGGTGGACAAAAAGGTTGAGCTATTTAATGAAATATTTGCTTTTAGTAAAAGAACCTTACTTTTAATGAAATATGTTCTTTTAGTAAATTTTGAGCACACAAAATAACTACAATGAGCCCGTTATTTATAGGCGAGACAAAATACATAACGTACTATGTAATGGCGCTATATTTTGCATGTTAAATATCATAATGTTGATAAGACAACTTTATGTCAGCTGGTCAGCTTTTTTAGTTTGACAAGACAACTCATACATAACGTACTATGTAATGACGCTATATTTTGCGTGTTAAATATCATGATATTGACAAGACAACTTTATGTTAGCCGGTCAGCTTTTTCAGTTCGACAAGACAACACACACATAACGTACTATGTAATGGTGCTATATTTTGCGTGTTAAATATCATGATGTTGACAAGACAACTTTATGTCAGCTGGTCAGCTTTTTCAGTTCGACAAGACAACACACAGACTAAATGGAAATTCGTGTTACATTTAAATATTCCTAGAGGAAAAATAAAGAAAAAGAAAAAAGGTCCCATTCTCAGCACCTAAGAGAAATAAGTGGAGCGATGTTTCTTTCATTATCTAGAACCAATCCAAATATTGTGAAAGTTGAATTATGTTATTGTCAAAGCATCTTTATTTTTCTGATACATAGAAGAGTGATAATGTGCTTGACTTGGAAAAAAATATTTCAGGTTTTGTTGACCTTTATGGAATGACCAAAACACTAATTAAAGGTCCCCTAGATGTTGGCAGATAATTTTATTAAATTATTATTTAAATAGGTAAAATGGGAAAGTACAAATCATAATTAACAAGCATAATTTTATTTCATAAATCTTGCAACATAGACATAACAACTAATTATTACAACATCAACTCATGGGTAGTTAGGTACACTAGAAGAACACCCACCACGAGCTTGATTACTGTTGCCACCCAAAGGACATTTTCTATGGTCGTGTCCTGTTTGCGAGCATATACCACATTTGCGCGCATAAACGGTATCACTAACATCCATTTGGTTCCGTATACGCCTTCTCTTCTGCACCTGTATTTTACGCAAATAGGACTTGTTACACACCATTTTAAATGGTTTCGGAGGCCAATAATGCTCAGCACCCACTGGCTGCAACTGACCACTATATGTGTTTAGGTACTTGGAAACACTATATTGTTGATCAACATAGTTGGTTGCACCTAAACCAACTTGTTGAAAGCACTTGATGGCATGTGGTAGATGGACTATTTTCCAAAAGAGCATAACCTTGTAGATTCATTTACAGTATGCACATTATTACACCGATTTTGATGGATAGCGGTGCGAACTTCAAAAATATTTCTTTCGTTATCATACTGCAAAAATGAATACCAATGTGCTCGCCGTCTGTATTTCTCAAATCTCTTCATCGGCACTGGCATAAATTCAACACCCCTTTCCATTAATGACGTTGCAGCTGCAGACCTTTCAACAAACCTCTCCGCCATCTACTTGAACGACATCCGCACCATGGCTATGACAGGCAATCCTCTTGTCGACTTGAATAACCCGTTGAAAGACTCTAACACATTTGTAGTCAGAGTTCCCCATCGTCTGCCACCATCCGCATGCAAAGTCCACTTTTCAGGGCCACGTCGCATTAACCAACGACAGGCTGCCTCGTCTTCTTGCCTGATATATTCCATGTGCCTCCGGAATTTATGCTGTTGGTGGTCTATTGCTGCCATCCACATCAAATCATGCAGATCCTTATTGGGATATGCCTTCTGGAAATTGGCTTTAAGGTGCCTAACACAGTAACGATGGTAGGCATAAGGTTCTTGCCATGCAAGCAAGTTCTCCATAGAACTTAAGATACCACCGTGCCAATCAGATATTAGATAGATACCGGAACGCTGTTTGACAACGTGCTCTTTCAAGTGGTTCAAAAACAGCATCCACGTCTCTTGGCTTTCATTGGCACAAATAGCAAAAGCTAGAGGAAATATCTGTCCATTAGCATCTACTGCCACGGCTATCAACAGCTTGATATCGTACTTTCCATAGACATGAGTGCCGTCTATGGATATTACGGGGCGACAATGCGAAAAACCATCAATTGCTGGTTTAAACGCCCAGAACACGTAATTGAATATATATTCTGGTTTACCCGGACTCCGCTCAAGCTTCCACTCAACAACCGTCCCGGGGTTAAAATGCTAAAGTGCAGCCATGTACCTAGGCAGATCTGCAAATGACTTATCCCAGTTACCATAGACTATTTCAAACGATCGTTTGCGCCCGAGAAATGCCTTTCTTTTAGTAATGGTATGGCCATGTTCCTGGTGGACTGCTGTAATGCACTATTTGATTTTATACCTTATGGACTGTTCGATGTGTGGAATAAGAACAAGAGAAATCACGTCAATATCCAAGTTAAAGTGATTCCCGTTGAATGTGTCCATTTCGCATGTGTGGGTGGGAATGTATTTACCCACTTTCCACATACCTGTCTTCTTCTTGGTCGCACGTAACATCCAATTACATGGCCAAAACCACCTGCGGAAAACAACCTTGTATACCGTCGGACTTGACTCCCATACCTGCATCTCATGACACTCTTTTACGTTGTTCATTTTACAAGCCCTGCTTAGGCGCGCTTTATCAGAAAAAAGCATCTCCTTTACAAGCACCGTTGGTCTAGACTCATCCCACATTGCTGTCCGGAATTCATCAAAATCCCTTGTGAGAGCTTCCACATCCGGCACGGTTGGCAAGTTATCAATGTAAGGAATCTCCCTTGAATGAAACGGCACTTCGGACTCGACCTTCGTCTAGGGGGGTCTCTCTTCAAATCAGGCCCTTCCTCCTCATCCTGCGCATCACCATCCTCACGAGGAAAGGGTGTCTCGTCTTTGGATTCATCCGCATTGTTATCGTAATCACTATTCTGTTCCTCACTCTGTGCATCTGCCAGATCCCGATGTAATACATTGTTTTCGGGCAATTGAGTGAGTACGGGTGGTTCAACTTGCTCGTTTTCACTGCACAACCAACAAAAATATAAGCTACAGAATTAATAAATGCTTTCCCTATGGCTATATCTTCACTTACAAGTCGTAATGTGATGAAATTCCATGATAGACGTTTTCAATTAGGTGATGACTACCGGATGGGCCACTTGTAAAATTCATATCCGGTCGGTACCCCCTATTAAATATATGAGCGTTAATACAAATTCAATACGCCAAAAATATACATAATTAACACAAATGAAAATTGAAGTTTACCACTCGTCTTGTGAATTATGGAAAGCAGGGTATAAATTATTTTCTCGCTGCTCATTCGCCGACGGTGATAAGTTTAAATCAAGGAGAACTCTTTCATCCGGAACCTGTCTGGCAAAAACTGCTCCAGAATAACCACCCGATGACTGGGGGTTATCTCTACTACGCCCAATCTCATTTTTTGGAACGTCTTCGACCTTCACGTACATCTCCAACATTGTGATTACAAGAAATTCCCGGCATTCGTCCGGAGTCCTCAGAAAATCACTCAAAGTTTCATCATCATCGATGTTAAACTCCGAGTAAAAAGCAACCCCTTGCGGAGTGACGGAATACGGATATCTTCCGGTTACTTTAAGTATCACTGAACGTTTCCTCACACTCATTTTTTTGCATAACAACGATATCAATGTATCGTACTCCATTGTAAGTGGCAATTTAACATGACACTTAGCAGGTAAATTGTAGCCCACGGAGTTATTCTCCATCACAACCTCACCCCCCCAATATAATGAAACTCTTATTCTACGCTCTTCAGACATAATGAAAAAATGCTGGAGAATTTAACAATAATAAACGTTTCAACAAGAGTTAAAAAATTTTTTGAATGAATTTCTATACAATCCTAACCTCTTTATATAGGAAATGGCTAGCCGGGATTTTTTTTTTATATATAGCACCGAAAAAGTTGGCACTATGCGCTTTTGAATTATTGAAGTCAGGAATTATTGGTGGGGCCAGGAAAAATGAGTATAGCGCCAGGTATTTTGGCGCTATACCTGGGCGTGTCAGCTTTTCAGTATAGTGCCAAAATACTTGGCGCTATACATTAACGGCACAGTTACTGTTATTGTATAGCGCCAAGTATTTTGGCACTATACATAAAAATGTCTTTTTTTTTCACCTACTTATGTATTTTGCCAAAAGAACCACATTTTGGTTCCGGACTCCACTCTTAGATCTGTTAAAGTAATTTACAAGCCACACACCTGATAAGGATTATGTCCAGGCATGAGCGGCATTGTGCATTCCGAGGTCCTTAAAAACCTCTTTTTGTCTCACCTTGATTTGCGTGCGCAATCTGGGCACGTAGCCTAAAAGCCAATATGTGAAAATCTGTAAAAAAATGATAAATTTTGACTATAAAATGAATTAAGTTTACTTCGGTCAATATTTTGGGTAAACAGACCTGGACCCGTGATTTGATGGTCCCGGAGGGTCCGTAGGAAAATATGGGACTTGGGCGTATGCTTGGAATCGAATTCCGAGGTCCCAAGCCCGAGAAATGAATTTTTAAAGAAAATTGTTTTTTGAAATTATTTATGAGATTTGGAAATGAATTATGATTGGAACTTGATGGTATCAGGCCCGTATTTTGGTTCTGGCGCCCGGTACAAGTCTTATATGTGATTTAAGATAATTCTGTGAAATTTGGTAAGAAATAGACTTGAAATGACGTGAATCGGATCGTATTTGAGAAAAAATGGAAAATTTGAAGTTCTTGAGAAAATTCATGATTTTGATGCTAAATTCATAGTTGTTGATGTTATTTTAGTGATTTGAATGCACGAACGAGTCCGTATGATATTTTTAGGTTGGTGTGCATGTTTGGTTTGGAGCCCCGAGGACTTGGGTGAGTTTTGGATAGGAAACGGGGTGGATTTTTTGGACTTAAGGAATTGCAGGCTTCAACTGTTTTCTGTGCAGGCCTGCAGGCTTC